CTTTGAAAGTCCAAAGAAATAACCTTCCAACACGTAATTGGGAAACTGTAACCCGTTAAGGTTGAGATGTGGGTGGGCGGGTGGGTGGGTGGGGAGGGAGCACTTTTCATAGGCGCACACAACAACACACGTCCCGCGTGGTGGTGTGTGCGGAACATTGGCAAACCCTAAACCTATAAGCCCTAAGGCCTCAACCCTGAACCCATAACCCTAAGCGCTAAACCCTGAAACCTAAGCCCTAGAACCTAAACCCTATAAGCCCCAACCCTAAATCCCTCTAAATCCCTTACCCACCATGGATTCTGATGACCCTATATAATCACAGGATTCCTACGATTCCCAACCTGCCTCCGGAGGCTTCCGTGCAGCCCTACTTTGACGGTTTGGGTATTCAGGGTTTAGAGTTTAGGGTTGAGGGTTCAGGGTTGAGGGTTTAGTAGGGGTTTAGGGCGTAGGGCTGAAAATGTCATACTGTGGGACTCTGGCGCATGACTGTGGCTGCTTCTTCATTCAACCCGCAGCAGTCAGCCCCCCTTTGAAGGACTGCCAAAGAGGCTGCCACTTCGTGTTTCGAAGAGGGGGCCTTTGCATGTTTTCTAAAGACACCGAATCCCTGAATACTAAACCCTGATCAACTCCATACCTTAAACCTGAAGGGTCGGCTCCAACACCTTGAAACCTGAACTTCGGAACCTGAACATCCCCATGCCCGGCTTGCTTAAGCCTATGAACCCTCATCCACTACCTGCAAGACTGTGAACCCTAAACCCCAGTCTCACTCCAAATCACTCTCTGCCCGTGGACTGTGCCACCACATGAGTAAGGAAAGTGGCGACAACACAGCAAGCACGACAACATCTGCAAGGGCCTGGCCGCTTGTTCCGGGATGTAGAAATTCAGACTACCAGTTCAGGGTTCTAAAGCCTTTGCGGTAAAATGTCGAATCTTGCGTGATGATCAGAGAGCGCTAGGACTGAAAATCCACAAAAATTCTGAACAAAAAACAACCAATATTTGAACAGTGATCTCTCGACATTTCAACATGGCTATAGTTACTACTAATTTAATGTATCACATTCCTTTACCAGCAAACTAGAGCGAACCCAAGAAGGAACTGCATAGGAGCCTTCGGGTAGACTTCAAGGGTAGCGTGCATCACAAACCCTAAGGGTCTAAGTACCTAATCATCATATACTTACCCCAAACCTGTACTAGAATTACTATTGCCCAAAACCCTAGTACCTACTTATTGGGTACTTGGACCCTCTAGGAAACCACACAGAAACATGCACTTGAGCGGCCTTGCAGAAACTCTCCATATGAGCTATACGGTTTAGGGTTTAGGGTTCTAAACTTTCAGCATCCCCCTCATTTAATATCCCCTATAATACTCCCCTATATAATTCCGTAGATAGCCCACTGTAAGCAGTTCCGAGTATAGTTTATATGGGTAATGTAGAAGATTGAATATGTACCAATATCATCTTCAGATGCTTGAGGTCTGATTGAAGTAAAACATATAATATGTGGTGTAGGGTTTAGGGTTTAGGTCGAATGCATGGCCCTTCTGATTGTAAACACACAACTGTAGCCGAAC